CTTCTCCAGGCAATAGAGAAAAAGTCTCATCTCACCCCTGCATCCCTGACTGCTCCTGCTCAGGTCAAAGGCGTTGCTGGGGAGGCAGGGGGGAAATCGCACAGCCACTCAAAGGGATTTCTCTTTGGCAGCATTATTGCTACGCTCCACGCGGAGCTTTCTGCAGAGTGACCCCAGCCCCGAGCCCCATCTCTTCCTTTCCATTAGTGACCTCGTCTGGCGTAATATCATTTGCTCTCGCTTCTAAAAACAGCCTGTCCCCTTCTCCAAACACTGCCTTGACAGGGGACCCCCCTCCCTTTCAGAGTTCAAGCTGAACTTGGTTCAGGTTCAAGCCAGACAGTTCTGTCCTGGATTCCTCTGAGGATTATTTGGGGATTTCTTTGCAGTGTTTAGAAAAGAAAGAAAAACATGGAAAGAGCAAAAGAGCCTTGTAAAGGGGTTTGGGAGGGAATACAAATTGTGCTCGCGACGATCAATGGGCTAGATCCTCCACTCCAAACAAGTTGTGCTTGTATAGTACCTGGGGTGGTGGGAAGAGGTTCGTTACAAGCCACTTCTCTAGTCCTGGGGAGCCCAGGGATAACTTCGAGCAGCCTCTCCAAGTCCTCTAAGTTACACCAGCTGTGCCTGCCCTCTAGGTTCTGCCCGCTCCCTCTTTCCACACTAAAGTTGGGTAGCGTACAGTCAGAGGAATCTTTAGCTGCTGCTGGAACTCACACGGAGGATCCGGGCCCCTAGATGCAATTTTTGAAAATAGAGCAAGGAACAAAAAATAAATTAAAAATAAAAAGGGTTTTACCAAAACCTAATGGGCCAAACTTTTAGCCTCTCCTTTTAATGCGCACGCAAAACGGCTACAAAACCACCATTTCCTCTGGCCAATCTGCATGCCGATATCTGCATGCACAAGCAGCCGTGCTGAGATTGCATATTGTTGCCTCTTTTGTACCTTCTCGACTAGTCAAAATTTGGGGCCCTGGTGTTGCTCCAATTTGGAGCAGAAGATGAGCAGCTGGATGACCTAGTGGTATGGCTCCCACCTACAGGTTGAAAGGTCCTGAGTCCTTGCTCTAGGAATTATTTTGTAGACGTTCTCTGGCCTGTGTTAAACAGGCAGCCAGGCTAGGTGATCACAATAGCCCTTTCTGGCCTCGAACCCATGATGAAGTCTGGTATTTTCTTTGATGCAGTCTTGTTTATTTACAAGGAATGTATCATGTCCTACTTCTTCAGATGCAGGAGGAACCAGAAAACAGGAGATAGCTTCTCTGCGTGCAGCCCCCCGCCTCTTTAGCCAACCCCAGAACCTTCCTCCAGGCTTCTTCTGGATCACACCATGCTTATAGGCAGACACGCAGAATACTCAGTCAAACCCCTCCACCCCCTCAGTCCAAAACTCTGGGGAGAGTTCACAACTCCCTTTGTGTTAGGTGGGTGGGGGGACCCTTGCGACTGGCTTATCCTGACAGTTATGTTAATTGTATGATGCATTCCCACCCAGTCTAAAAGAGGTTTTTGATCCATGCCATCACCAGTACTTCTGAGCATAACCGTATACAAACCACAGTGCATCGGCTATCTTGCACATACACAAAAAGGAGGCCACATCAAAGTGTGACCCAATATAATTTTTTTTTAAAATCTTTCCAGGACATATTTTTAGGTTGCAGAGAGAACATTTAAGGGAACCAAAACCTTTCATGACTAGTTGGCAATCCTAACAGCAGAGTTATGCTAGAATAACCGACTGGCAGACCATGTATCGTGTCCTCTTCTAATGGCTGGTGGATAACAACCAACTATTGCTAGCCACTAATAGAGTTACTGCCTTAGCACAAGTGGTAGCAGCCAGTGTTGCAATGCTAAAGTCTCCTATTTAAACCATGTGGCGTGCAATTACAACACAAACGAGAACCAGAAAAAGAAGCAGAGCCGTCTAGTTTCCCTGGCCTAGATGAGTGAAATTCAGAAAGGAACCAAAGAAAAGCATATGAATGGCTGGGAAAGATTATTTTGGTTTTAAGCATTTCAACAGTACCCCTTTAAAATGGATGTCAGCAATCCATAGCTAGGGGGTCAGAGCCAAGTCAAATCAGCAGTAATTCTTATTTCTTTTCCTCTCTGCTGCATCCAGCTCAAAGCAAAATAAAAGTGCTGAAACAAGTCGTTCCCTTCAACCCCCCTTTTCCTGGTGAACTGTTTTACAATAAGCTACCTGCTGGGGTCACAGAAACACGAGAGAGGCGCCTTTCACCTCACACAAAAGCAGGAGGGAGGGAGGGAGACGCTCTGAAAAGCTTGCAAAATGGAAAAAAAGGAGAAAGGGAAAAAAGACAACACTACCCCTTTTGTCATCTTCTGGAGCCTTTATTGGAGACCATTTCTGTCCCGCTTCAGCTCACCATCTCTCAACTAAGCTCTTCAGATACCCGGCTCTCATCCAGGGCTGTAAGAGTACATTTGCCAAGTGAGGAGATGAAAATCAAAGGGTGTTCAGCGACAGAAAAAAGGGAAAGTAGTTTTTCTGCCTTAAAAGGAAAGGGGGCGAGGGAAATGTTATCCATTGTTTATTAAATCAGATGAGCAAGACAAGGACCCACTCCAAAGAAAGGCTCAAAGCAACGGGGACCGTTGTGAGTAAAACTGGTGTTCATCTCTTGGTGTTTACTTATAACCAAGTGACAGCCTTTTATGTTCTATTAAATGGTTGCTTTCGAGCTGGGGATTAGATAACGTTGGGATAGAAGGGGTGGGATTTCTGGGGTTCAGAGGCTTCTTAAGAGAGTCACTGTAACAAATGCCAGAACTTGAACCCAACCTTGCTCAAAGTATCATGCTGCTGGGTGGGTGGAAGCAGAGAAGATGGGACTTTTTCCTTCGGAAAAAATTCTTCCTTTGGGTAAGATGTAACTATGTATACACATGAGATGGTGTGAACAGCACCAGCTTGAGCCAGGTGTGGCATGGCTAGATGTTGGAGACACCTCTCAGCAGCACCTCATCTTGGTGGTGCGCCTCCATCCTGAAACGAAGCATCCCTGCTGGTCCAGTGTTTCCCTGCTCTCCTCCTCAACACACACACACGCACCATAGCTGACCGATAGCCCTCCCTTCCATCCACCCACCCTACAGTCCAATTCCAGGCTGCTCATGAGAAGATGCTCTCAGTCAGATCCAGTTGTCCTGTAATTGTCTAGTGTGCATACACCGCCACCCATTTACACTTACAACCCAAAGTGAAGATTTCAACCCTAAGGAGTCCAATTGTCCCGTGGTCTACTCTCAATGTTTCCAATAGCAATGCGTGAGGGATGCGTTTGGCCCTCGTTCTTTAGAGAGGAGAAACAAGTGCACTGACCCATGACCTCACAAACCCCTCCGCACAGTCCTCAATTTATCTATGAGGTTTTCAAAACTCAGTTATTTCAAATGGAGAAATATTAGCTCGTAGTTATTGCTTGTCACCCTAGACTGCCGACTTGGCCCACTCCCTAAGACAAAGCAGTACAGAACCAGGGTGAACTGCAGGGTGATGGCACCTGTTCACCGCCACAGACCTACGTGCCAATGGAGTGAAAAGTTTAGCGAGTCTCAGCAGGACCCCTGAGAATCACAAACAGTTGAGTTCAGCATGGGGCCTGCTACTTTAAAGAGCTCGGCCTGTTTGGCATATCAGAAAGAAAACTGAGCGGTCACTCGATTGTCGTGTATAAATACCTTCACCGTGAGAAAATACCAGGCAAAGGCCCTTTAACCTGATGATGAAAGGCAGCACGAGAACCAATTTCTGGACACTGACGCCAGATACAAATGGTCAATAAGGGACAAATTTCTAACGGCGAGTGTGACTGACCATTGGAACAAACTACCAAAGGAAGTGGTGGGTTTTCCATCTCTGGCTGTCTTCAGATCAAGACTGAAGGCCTTTTTGGAAGAGACTGTTAAGCCAAACACAAGTTATTGGGGTTGTTACAAAGGTAACAGTTTAATTTACGAGCTTGTGCGATACAGGAGGTCAGACTCAGTGATCTTAAGCTCCCTTCTGTCCTTAAAAATCTATGAATAAATTCAAGACTAAGATGTATTGGCAGAGCTGGGTGTGGAGTGGATACTGGAAGAGAAAGGTGCCACGGCTCAGGTGTGTGTGTATAAAGACACCTGCACAATGCTATGCCAGCTCCAGCTATTCTTGTCAGCCTCTCCATTTTAAAGTTTCTACATGAATTTGCATCTTTAGACACCTAAATATATTTGAAAATCTGCCCTCTGTGACTTTGGGGGCTTGTGAAAGACAAAAGTAAGGGCCAGTTTCCTTTTGAGTACTCTGTGCTACTACAGAGGCTGCAGCGTAATAAGCATTAGTAGAGGTTACAGTTTACCTAAGGAATAGGTTAGGTCAGTCTTTAAGTGCCTGTAATTATGTTCCGACAGTGGCAGAGGGGAACAGAAGCCTCCAGAGTCCGGCGGCGAAGCATGGGGCTGCGTCGGAGACAGGCTGTGTATAAGTGTCAGGCTCCCGAGGGCAATCGCATAGCAAGCAGGAGCTTGCTGCGGCCAGCTTTGTGCCTGGAGATGAAAAGCTCAGCACTAGCGTTAGCATGGTGCTTAGGAAATCAAACAGCCCCGTGCAGCTCTGTACTGGAGCCTGGCTATGTCGGTTAGCCACGACAACCCTCCCGCCGTAGACTGCAAAATGAAGGGCCTCACCGTGCACGGTGCCGAGACCCTCCCACGAGGGAGCTGATGGGAACGAAGGGCCCTTCGCACCTCTCCAGAGGCGCTCGGCCTCGTGCGGAATCAGAGCCAAAGAAAGGGAGACGAAAGCATTTCAGAAGAACCTTCTTTAGCATAACTGGCTAACCACGGAGTGCCCTCTCACCGGCCAGCCCTGGCGCCAGACAGCACAGTGCACACAAAAGGCAGCGCTTGGGCCGAGTCAGTTTAGACTTAATATTTGCATTTCGTAAAGCAAACGAATAAATCCCCACGAGTGTATCTGCGCTTCCCGTTTGTATTTATTAGCAAGAACAAACAGGTTGGTTTTCCTCCTTCGTTACACAGGTAAAATAGCAGCATAGCTCCCACGCCCTTCTCTTCTCAACGGCCCGGCCTGGTGTTGACTCTCCATCTCTAAACAAGCTGAGATTACCCGACTGACCGACCAGAAGAGCAAACAGCCTTTGAAGTAAATATTCGTTATGAACTCTGAGAGGGAAGAGTCTCACAATGAGCAGCGCTGGGATCCACTTCCTCCAAGCTGCTGGGAGAAGTAATTCACATGCCTCAGAGAGAGACAGCAGAGCCTGGGCAAGGCTGTATGCATCCCCTTGCCCAGCACGGCCCCTGCAGCGGTCTCCACTGGCATGAGCAGGGAACAGACACCACCACCTCAAGTCAGGATGTCCACGCAGGTGCAGATTCATCCAGGAGTAGCTCCCAGGAAGAACACAAGAACTGCCAAACCAAGTCAGACCAATGGTCCATCTCTCCCAATACCGTCCCCAACTCTGGCCAGTGCCCAAACCTCAGGGGTAGTGTGCAGAACAGGGCAATTATGGATGGATCCACCTTGGTCTTTGCTCCCAACTTCTGGCAGTCAGAGGTTGAGGGTTGCCCTGAGCACAGGATTGTATCCCTGACCATCTAACCATTGATAGACCTTTCTTTTTTGAACCCAGTTATACTTTTGGCCACCACAACGTCCCATGGCAAAGAGTTCCACAGGTTAATTGTGCGTTGCATGACAAAGTATTTCCTCTTGTTTGTATTAAACCTGTTGCCTTTTAATGTAATTGGGAAATCCCTGGTTTTTGTATTGTAGGAAAGGGTAAAGAACTCCTCTATTCACTTTTTCCTCACCATTCGTGATTTTATAGACATTATCGTATACCCCCTCAGTTGTCTCCTTTCTAAGATGATCAGCCCCAATCTTTTTGGTCTCTCCTCGAATGCAGGCCATTCCATACCTTTGATCATCTTTGTTGCTCTTCTCTGAGCCTCTTCCAGTTTCACTAGATCCTTTTGGAGATGGGGCAACCAGAACTGGATACAGTATTTAATGTGTAGGGGCACCCTGGATTCGTATAATGGCATTATAATATTTTCTGTCTTATTCTCTTATCCCTTTCCTAATGGTTCTAACCTTCTGTTGGACTTGTTGACCGCTGCTGTGCATTACCTTGCAATTGTCAGTGTTGAATTTCATCAGTCACACACAAAGTTACTCTAACAATTTACATCCTATTCTGTTTATACAGTTTGTGCACAGGCCCTTGGCATCAGCCGGAACCCACACTGGTTAATGCTTTAGCTCTCACCTTCTCAAGCACCTTGTTCAACCTTATGTGATAAATCAAATGAGTCTACAAGGGTTCAACACAGTGCCCACTGGTGTACACCAGGGACCAGTTGCCTTGGGCCCAGTCCATGCTATTTTATTTTTCACTTTTTATTAAAGCAAAGTTACAATAAAATGTGAACATGCTACATTGTCTGCTACTCATTACAGATCAGGTTAATATTCAAAGACGCTGGCTAAAGATTCTGGCTGGGTGGCAGGAGAGGCCTCTTCCTCATAGAATACCACAAAGAGTGACCACATTTCGAAATACCTATCCTCTTTTTGATGCTTCTCTTATGTACCCACTTGGGGTGAATGTTTTTCCCATTATAAAAATGGTCCATATTTTACAATACCACAATTCCATAAGAGGAGGGGGCCATATTTTTCCCAACAACACACAATACAAAATCTTGCTGCTAACAATAAAAAAAGAAATCCAGGCGTTGTTCTGTTTAAAATGCAGACCCTTTCCGAGAGCATTAGATAAGTCGGGTCAGGGCATCTCCAGGAAGCTGGTATTTTGTGATAAGATGAATCTCTTTAATAATTTCCCCCAAAACTGACCTAGTGCCTGGACACAACCACCACCTGTATAAGTATGTTCCCCTTTCCCTACAAGGCCTCCAAAAGAACGTGTCCCCATATAACTATTTCAATAAGGAGAGGTGATTTTGTTTCAAACCAAAATAGTTACATCAGTTCTACCTTTAGTGTGGATGTAATTACTGCACTATAAAGATGCCTTGTACCGTATAGATTATGCCCCTTCCCTTACAGGAAGGAGCGATCCTTGTTTAAGCACCTTTATACCACTGTAACTGTGTACAAACTAGGGTGGTGGTGAATGTAGAGACACCCCGAGTTTAGTTGAGACGTAGCAGAGGAATAGCAGGGGTTGGTGCAGAAGAACTTGGATGAAAAAGCGGATCTCATTACAACTGCACCCGTGGTCCAATCATTTTAAAAAGACTTGTACTCAGATAAGAAGAGCATTGAATGATGTGGTGGTAAGAGGTCCTGGAGCGACAATTGGAGGTAGAAGCAATGCCAGCTTCCTTCATCTCCGCTCTGGAGCTACCTCCCCTGCTAGAGGTTACTTTAGTGTCCTTGCTCCCCGACTAGCAAAAGGATGAATTAGTGCCAGCTGTGATGGCAGCTTCTTTTGGACACATGGAGGCCTGTCCTCAAGGCAAAGGACTGCAACCACCCAACTTATTTCACAGACGCCACCCAACTGCTGGGAGGGAACAACCAGCAACCAGGGCTATATTCCAGCCTTTTGTCCCTGACCTAGCCTGTGTTCTCTAGCGTTTGCCCATTCCTACAGTAACACGCTATCTGACAGGTGGGATAGCTCTTCTGGAGGAGAGAAAAAACAAACATTCACAGCCGTGCACAGCCACAAGTTGAACTACCCTCCGAAATCACATCTTCCCTGGCAGAAATCCAAAATACGTTTGCCTGTTCATAACACAGCAGCTGCAAAGGACATAAATTGGTTTGAGCTGCCGGAAAAGAGATGGGACAATTAAAGAGATGCCCCGGGGTGGCAGGTGTACACGTTACACATGGGTGTTAGCGTAAACTGGCATTAAGAAAAAGGACAAAGCATCAGTGGAGACACTCTGGGCCATTTTTCTCACTAGGTGTGAAGCCTTTCTGAAAATGCCAACCCATAGGCCAAGTTCTGCATATGTTTCCCTTTGCCATGATGCCTACAAAAAAACCAACTTGATCATGGCTTGGCTGGTGGTGTGCTGAAACCTCCGCTCCTATGTTGACCTGTATTGTCTCATTTTTTGTGTCCTTGAGCTCCCCCATCTGTCGTCTCTCGTCTCATAAGCATTTTGGGCAGGGACTGTCTCTTTGTATGGCACCTAGCACAATGGGGGCCAAGCTTCTAGGTGCGACAGTAATGCAAATATACAGTTACATCTCTGCAGCCCCATTTAAAAAAAAAAAGTCACTGGTGTAACAAAGCAGATTTTAACCCAGTGAGTTCGAGTGCGGACATGATTTTACGTGGTGGGGAACATGACACCATCAGATGAGTGCTGTGCATCATAGAGGCTGGCGGGTAGAACGGTAGTAGGGAAGAGCAACCAACAGGAGGGTGTAAGAAGGGTGTGGACATTTTATAGCTGCCTGTTGGTTGTGTTTCCTGCTATAAGCCCATCATTCCTCCCGCCGTGGGTAGGTTACACTCACACTCCCTGTGTAACTTGCCGTACACCATCACGTATGTTACCCCGGAATGCACAGTGCGACGGTGCGGTCGGTGGGTTTTACACTGACTGAAAGAGTAATCTTCACACAGACATTTTAGGGACACTATGTCAGTAGCCCACTGGAGCAGTGCTCTTACAGCAAGCCGGATAAGAGCTGTGGCTTGCGTTCTCTCCCTATGAACAGGTTAGGCTGTATTTTTAGCCGGAAAAGCGTATGATGAATCCTCAGCCGGCAGCAATCCTGGGACTCAAGCAATCCTGAATATCCAGGTTTGACTCACTGACAGGAACCCTATAATTTTCCTGAGGACTGTTCCTACTAGTTCCTGCTGCTGTATTGAGGCTGGGGCTGCAGAATGCCAAGACACTGAGCTTCGCTCAACTCTTCATGCATCCAGGAGGAGAAACACTGGTACAACCATTCAAAAGCACTCCAGCACGGAATAAAACTACAGGATTTCTCTTGCCTTCAAGCCAATTTAGCTCTTTCCACTTATCCTTTGGATCCTCTGTGTACCTTGTAAGTACATCATTGCCACAAGACAGCACTACAGGACGGGGCGGGGGGGGGGGGGTGAGGAGACTGTTTTAGGATTCGTTTGCACACAGTCAGAGTCTCCTCTCGCTTGCACCAGTGTGACTAACAACTTCCACCAAGTTGTTCTATTTTAGGCTTGTATAGGCGAGAGGAGACTCAAGACGAACATTTGACCTGCCTTTGAGTCATTGGAAAAATGGAGGAAAGAACATCCTTATAATCACATCTATTCTGCATCCCTAACAGACTCCAGTTCTGCAGCTGGGCACTTAGGTACATGAAATGGCCCACCAAATGGCAATCGATGTGCCCATCAGCAAAACAGGGCTCCTTAATTAAATGAACAAAGGTGAAACTGGCTCCCTACATCTTTCATTATGAGCCACACAAAACCATCACTACAAAACCACAAGCCACTCAACCACCATTTGATTCAGGATTTCATAACTCTCAAATATCAGCCTAAGGGCACGAAAAGGGTCTCAAAACCTTTTGAGCAATTCTGGGCCAAAGGATAGTTTCAAGTCAAAAACTATGTGACATACAGTATTTCTGACTGAATCCCTGCAAGTCTGAACCCAAAACGCAAAGCAGGGGCAGGAAGCCACAGCATTGGGATACCAATTCAATAGATATGCAGGAAACCACACAAACTTAAACCATGAAATGTTGTAGATCTCTGATCTAGGGCCTTGATAAGAGAAGCAGCAGCATCACACACTGAATTCAATCATATTAAACATACAGTCTTTATTCTAACTTGTCTTCAATTCTCCATAGGAGCTATTTTCTCATTGAACAGGGCATAAATCTTGTCCGTTTCAAAAAATATTTTCAATCTCTGTATTAAGAAGAGCTCTAACTACTGTATAGTTCCACAGAGCACCTTCTTGTGCTTTGCATGAATATTGGGGGTAGGGGTAGAGAAATGACAACACTCAGGTTTGGGAGTTGAAAACCACACACATTAAAGGGAAGGCATTCAAATTCAGAGTTGCCACTTGAACAGGAAGCATGTTGGAACCTGAAGTCCTGCTCACACTGTGCCAGGCTGTGCCCTTTAATAGGGGTGGGTGGGTGGGATATAGGAGAAAGCAAAACTTCCCATCTCGAACACTAAAGTGTAGAGATTGTTGCCAAGGTGCTGACCAGCTTTATATCAGACACTTCCACTCTCCAGCTGTCTGACAGGGCCCAGTGCAGAGGTCTCAGAGCGAAGGCAGAAGGAATTGAGTAGCAAGAGAGGCAAAGGATTTTTTTAAAAAGAGACATTTAATAGATGGTGATGGTGACAGTTCCCCAACTTGGTACTGTTGTCTTGATCTTCTCCCTCACTGTGGTTACAGGTCTCCCATGTTCCTTCACCTAGTCCCCCAGCCAACCTGGTTTATTTTTTAAATGAGGCTGCAGCGATGCGTTGGCCCCTTCTGTTTTAGATGGCGTTTCCTTGGGCTTGTGCTGGACTGACGTATGCAGGACCACACAGCAAGTCTTCTCCCTACACCATGAGAGGATTTGCATCTCATGCGACTGTCCCAGCAAACAGGCCAATATGCTCTCTTTCCAACAGCTGTTCCGAGCATTCAGCTCCCAGCGTCGCAAGGACTTAGATGTTTTCACCTTTGCTCCTGCCACGGTAAGGGGCTGCATCATGCTCTCTGCACTGGGTCATAAACCAGCCACACGTACAGGACCAAGACCCAAAGAAGTCAGAAGGGAGAGAGGGGGAAAAAATATTCCGTGGCTGCTTCCATGGAAACGGGCCAACAGTGGGCTCTTTTCAAAGAGCAGGGAAATCAAGCTCCCGTTTGGCTTAAAAGCACATAGCTGCTCACCCCAACATATCCGGCCTGAAAGTCTCCTGGCCAAGAGGAGAATTTCCAAGTCTAAAGGCCCAGAAGAGTGTGTCTTGAAGGAGGCTGGTTAAGTCCCATCTCTGTGTGGGAGTCTCCGAGGTAAGTGAGAGCCAGCAGGAAGCTGAGGAAAGCAGAAAAAACGGGGCAAAGCGGAGAAATTGAACCACAGTAACTGCACTGTGGGCAGCTGGTCAGGAGACCATTTCCATGGTGGGGGCAGCTAGCTGAAAGATCCCACCACAGCCTCCAAAACCTGAGCTTTTTTCTCCCAACGCCTCTACTTCGGGTCTTGCAGGTGGAGAGTTCCTCTTCTGCAAACTGAGGGGTCCCAAGCAAAGCTTCCCAGAATTTCACTTCCCAAAGGGCTACTAGGTGGAACGCAGCCCCTTCTGCAGAGACCGTCCTGGCCTGTGCTCCAGCAGCAGCTGCTTTTCCTGTTCGTGTCCCAGAATTCTCTTCCCTCTCTCGCGACAGAGCCTGCAGAAAGAAAAAAAAAGAGAAGGAGTTAATGGTGTGTCGGCCAATGGATTGTAACAAAGGAATCAGCACTTCCTCCGCTATTACTAAACTGAACATGACCCACTTCCTCCAGCGACAGCAGGGAGGCTGGAGCAATGCAGGCAAGCGTAGACAGCAACTAGCAGGCCTGAGGGGTCCCTTAAAAACGCTGGGCCCACTGCCGTAAGGGGCTTCGCATCTGTGGAGAGAAGCGGAGTATTCAATTCATACCGAAGTCATGAGGTCTCAGCGCTTCTTGGGAGAGGCTCAGCACCTTGCACAATCAAGCCCTCAGGAAGTACAAACCCAAACCCAAGTCCACAAGGACTGCACCCCCACATGTTACTTTGCTGAAATAGGGGAGAAGCAGGTAACAGGTGCTGCTTTCCCAGCAGTCTCAAGGTGTCAGGGTAACCAATCAAAAGGACTTTTAATCAACACCTTCCTTCACTGAGCTATGTTGGGGCAGCCCGCGGAGGAGGATTGAGGACTGGAGGGAGTGACGTACACAGCATTGCCAACCCCGGCTAGCATGGGGAATGAGTAGGTTGGGAGTGATGGAAGGTGACCCCTGGAACCTTTTACACTGTAAAGTTTTTGGGGCAGAGACCACCACCATTTCCATATACAGCCCCGAGCACAAGTGGGGCGCGGACCTGGCTGTCCTCCAGTCTCCACTACAATACAAAAATGTGAACCACCACCAAGAATGCACCTAACATTGCCTTCTTCGCTTGGATTAGATTTGCTCCCCTTTACACAAGCTTTTGTCTGTTGTGTCTGTTTACACAAAGCTCTTTGGGGCAGGGACAGCGTCTTCCAAAAGCCATCGTCCCCTGTACAGCACCTCGTACAATGGATCGAGCCAGAGATGGGAACATCACTGCACAATGCCTGGTGCAACATCATCAACCGTGGCTGGTGCAGCAATTCACCATTGACAAGGGTAGTACAATGGGCCCCAATCCCGATGGCGCCTTTAGGCATTACCACAACACAAGCCAACGGCATGGCAGAACAAGGCTACTAATGTAGGCTCAGTACCACATGGACCGCTGCCCAGGAGGCTCAAAGTGTCTGCACAGCAGCGGAGCCAGCCTGGCATGAGCAGGAACCATTTAAGCTTCCCCAAACACTGCTCAGTCAACATGTCCCATCCTGACCCCTCTGGGGTAGAAAAGAGTTCAGTCTCCATCTCTCTTCAGTACTTGACCTCTCTGCTGACATGACATCCCGAAGGGATGCCAGCAGGGATGGAGGACTGGGTGATGTGAACACACTGCACTAGAAACTGGTCTGAGACCTCTTAGTTCATTTCCAATAGGCTGCCAAAGAGCTGTCAGCAGATAACTGAGTCAGCCAACCCCAGGAGCTATAATTCAGTGATAAGAGCAGAGGATGTGCTGACCTCATTCCTGGGAAAAGCAAATGTACCCAGCTGGATCTCCCCAGGGAGCCAAGAAATGACATCTGCTCCTAGGTTCGGCTTCTATCATCTTTGTGTGTGATTAAGAAACTGATCTTTGCTTAGGATGACTCTGGATTGATTACATCGTAGGGTGTGATAGAGGGTTGATGAATACGAGAAACGGGTATAAGAGGATGTCTGGAAATGACATTTCAATTTCCTTTCAACAAATAAAGGACCATGGCTGGAAACACAGATGGAGAAACCATTTAATACTACTTTACAGATACATAGGCCCCTCTTATCCAAGGAGCTCCAAGCGAATTGCAAGTAACTGATGAAACATCACAAAGCTTCTGGGAGATAATACTATTACCCTATTTTGCCAGGGGGAAACTGAGGCACAGAAAGATTACAGCTAAACTGTTCCAATACACTGTCCCCAGCTGTAGGGAACAGTGTCTTGAAGACAGATGCAGGAATGGAAATCAGGATCCTTGACTAACCACACCATGTTCTAATCCAGCGATACTCAGACTGAGGCTCGGGAGCTGCAAGTGGCTCTTTAATGTGTCTCCTGCAGCTCTTTGCAGCGTGGGATATTAAAAACACACGCACACACCCCGCTCCAGGTGTCAACGTCCCCTCGGAGGCTCCTCCTCTCACAGGCAGTGTTTAAACACACAGCTAATAGCAGATTTTTTAAAAGTGTAACTTACAGAGGGAATCGAATCTTTCACTGCAACTCTGATCTGTTCAGCTCCATTTGGCCTCTGGAGGTTCTTGTCCTTTAAGGAATTAGATTTTTCTATTCTCTCCTATTTTTCCCCCCTTTTCGGTCAAAGAATCAAAAGCATTTCATTGTTAACAGGTATCCTTATGAGGGTACCATGTCTGGCTTCCCCTTCCTGTTGATACCAGCTAGTTAACGGCATACAGGAGAGGTAGAGGTCTGTATGCATGACCCAGTCACTCGACTGCACCTCTAAGAGCTGTGGACAGTGAATGATGTTCGGAGAAGATTGGCACCTGCACACCAAGGTGCCAGCCACATCAGAAATGCCACAAGATGACTCTTCATATAAACAGTCTGGGGGACCTGTTCCAGGCCTGCTGTTTGGTCAACTGGGTTTTGGGGGTCTGGAAATAAATGTAGCTCCTAGGAGCTTACAAAAACCCTGTGCGCAAATGTCCCCGGCTCTTGCAAATGTGTTAAAAATAAAACCCTTTAAGAGCTTCCAGATGTTCTGTTTATGTTGTGGTGTTACCCTGGCCGATCCTCCGGAGACCAATATGCAGCCTCCTGACTGCCAGGATGAAATCGCGGCAGCCAAAGGGAACGGCATGGGGGAGTGGAAGAGGTCAGAACCCTTCCTCTCCTTTCCACCTCCAACTCAGCCTGTTAACCCCTGCACTGCTAGCAAACACCTGGAGCCCACCAGAAATCTTTCACCCCAACTTCAGGTCCTTCCTTGCCTTTGGTTAGTGAGGCAAACATACTGCGCCCCCTGTAGGTCATCAGAGTTCACTGTGAAACCTCTAGACCTTCAGATGAAGGTCACATCCGATGAAGTGAGCTGTAGCTCACGAAAGCTCATGCTCAAATAAATTGGTTAGTCTCTAAGGTGCCACAAGTCCTCCTTTTCTTTTTGCGAATACAGACTAACACGGCTGTTACTCTGAAACCTCTAGACCTTAACATTCATCGTGGATGGAACGGGGGTGGGCGGGGAAGAGCAGAAGGGAGTTATTGTCTTACATAGTGTCCTGTTGGTGTCCCAGCTTCCTTATGGTGGAATCAATGCAGGAGTGTTTCGTATTGCAGGCCTGGATTCAAATCCAGGCACTCAGCACAAGTGACAGTGAGTTTCAGACTCATCCTAGGATCTAAGGGTCATTTTGTTTCCCTCAAAATCACTGCGCAATTTCAAAAGGGCTAGCGGTCTCTGTTCAAGAGCAGGCCAAAGATGGGAATAACAGGCCCAGACTGAAGTGCCCAGGACGGTTGTGTGTGAGGGATCAGGGCTGCAATAGGAGGGTGATGGGATGGGATGATTTAACTGGGAATTGGTCCTGCTTCGAGCAGGGGGTTGGACTAGATGACCTTCTGGGGTCCCTTCCAACCCTGATATTCTATGATTCTATGGTGTATGCAAGGGGAGGATGCTGGAGACGGGTGAGAATGGGGATTGCATTGAGGTACATCAGCAAAGCTGGAGGAGTGAAAAATGCATAGCACCATGCAAACCTCTGGCTGTTCCCGTCAGCCTAATTCACAAGGGCTAAATCCAAAACACCAAATGCAATGGAGTACCTTCCTCCTGCCGCCAACCAAAAACCACGCTGCAAATCAAAAGCATCACAGCTTCCCCGTGGGCAGCAAAGCCAAACAGGCACGGAAACCCACGGGGCCAAGGAAACAATTAGCGCAGTTTTGGCCTCATCAACCCCTGATGGCAACAGAAAAGAGAAGAGACAGCTCCGCAGTACTGTCTGCAGTAAGATTTGATGTGCCAAAAAGATTTCTTAATGAGCACTGGGTTGGCAGGCAGAATCCCATACACACAGGACTCAGGATTCTTTGCACAAGGCGGTGCACTTACAATCTGCTTCTTTTGAAGTTTCCTTGAGTTAGCGGCATGGCAGGCAGCAATCAAACCTCCATAAAACACAGATAGCGCAGCTGTGTGCGCAGGATCTGATCGGTTATCTCACCCCCTCCCAGGGCGGGTGCATGAGCGGGGGGGAGGGAAGGGTGCACTCCACGCGGCTCATTTGAAAAAAGGCTTGCCGCAGGAGATCAAAGCCACTTCCTCAAGTGCCTTGCTCAAGCCTGGCCATAAAGGAGCAGCACCGCTCCCCACTGGATCCCAGAATTCAGGTCCATACTTAGCATGACAAGGGAAGGTGGTGTTAAAATAGTAATGACCACACCAGTACGTCCGGGTTTCTATTGCACGCCAACACCACCACCTAGCTGCACTTTTTCCCCACCAGTAGACCTCTAAGCACTTTACAAAGGAAGTCGGCATCGTTATCCCCATTTTGCGGATAGGGAAACTGAGGCACAGGACGAACAGACTTGCCCAGAGGCAGATCCAAGAACAGGACCCAGGTCTTCAGAGCCCCAGTCCAGTGGTCTGTCCACTACCACCATACTGCCTCTTCCCACCTTCATCAGATGGTTCCTCTGGTACTCCGAAGCACATCTATATGTTATTATCCCAGCCCAGAGAGGAAGGAGGAAGTGTTCATAACACATCCTTCCCCGTACTCAGATTCCCCCCCCCTCCCGCCCCCACAGGCACCTGTAACAGCTCTACCTGCTTCCTAAGCGGAGGATGCCACTGGGCAGGAGGAATGGCAACATGCCATCAGCTTCTTTGTGACTCCAGGAAGCAAAGCATTCAGAACTCTAAAGCAAACCCAGATTACAGCAAGGAGCAGAACTGGGGACTCAAGATCTAAACTTCTGATCCAGCGACCGAATGCCATCTTGTAGAAGAATTTTGACCCCAACGTCCTGCCCATTCCATTACTAGACCTTCCTCCCCCTCCGTGGCACGTCTCA